ACGTTTACGTTAGTAGAGAGAGAGAGAGAGAGAGAGAGGGACCCTTTGGGGATGAGAGATGGTAACATGCAGGACGGGGAGGGAGGATGGTGGTGGTGTAGAAGAAGAGTGAGGAAGCAGCATTTGCAGTGTTTTATAGGATTAGGGCTGGGGGCAAGGTGGCCAATGGGAGGAGGGCAGCATGGGAATCACAGTTAACTGGTGAAATGCACAAGGCGGGAGAGAGAGTACACACGTGTCAAATTGCTTCGGAGGTTTGTCACGTGTGTTGATAGGTGCGGCACGTGTAAGGTTATGCAAGGGATGTATGGGGCTGCTGCCTTGATGGTTGGCGAATAAGGCTTGGGTGCTGTTTTCTTGCCTCTAATGCGCCCAACTACGTCCCCACAACTGTGACCAAATTGGCATGCGGACCAACACATAGAAGGAAGGCGTTGCTTAGAGGGAGACTGTCACTCTCTATTTTCTAGAGAGAGAGAGAGAGACAAAGAAACGTGCGTTAGAATTTCTAACTATTTGCCCAAACAATCCTCACTAATTACGAGAGCATATTGTAGTTACTCCAACGAGAGCATATTGTAGTTACACCCTTTAATGCTACACAAAATGTGTTTACTAATTGCGAATATGGCTTCATGCACCAGCGTACCAGACATCTGTAACTCTTTTTATGAGCACCTATCTACAATCTTCCCATTTGTCCATCCCATTTCTAATGTAGACGCGTATACTATGCTCTTGTGCCAGAGCATTCTGTTCCTTTAGAGCTACTCAAAATGTCCTCACTATTTGTGAATATTGGCTTCATGCACTAGAGTACCTGACTTGTTTTATGAGCAACTATCTGCGCTCTCCCCATTTGTCCATCCCATTTCTAATAACGGAGCGTACAGTATGCTCCTGGGTGGTGGGAGCATACTGTACTTACTCCCTTCAAATCTTCTCCAAATGTCCTCACTAATTGCGAATATGGCTTCCATGCAATAGAATACCTCGCATTTGTAACTTTTTTTATGTGCAACTATCTGCACTCTCCCCATTTGTCCACCCCATTTCTAATATCCACGCGTGTACTATGCTCTTGCACATGAGCATATTGTACTTGCTCCCTTTAAAGCTTCTCAAAATGTCCACACTAATTATGAATTGTGCTTTCATGCACCAGAGTACCAGACATTTGTGACCATTTTTATGAGCTACTGTTTGCACTCTCCGCATTTGTCCATCCCATATCTAATATCAGTGCGCATACTATGCTCCAGCGTGAGCATACTGTACCTACTCCCTTTAAAACTACACAAAATGTCTTGACTAATTGCCAATATGGGCTTCACGCACCAGAGTACTTGACATTCATGACCTTGTTTTTATGAGTAAACTACCTGCACACTCCCCATTTGTCCATCCCATTTCTAATATTATGCTCCCGAGTGGGGGTATACTGTTCTTACCCCCTTTAAAGCTACTTAAAGACCTAGCATTTGTGACTTCTTTTAGGTGCCCCATTTGCCCATCCGATTCCCTAATATCGATGCGTACAATATGCTCTTGCGCAGGAGCATATAATACTTACTCCCCTTAAAGCTACTCAAAATGTCCTCACTATGGGCTTCATGCAATAGAGTACCAGACATTTGTGACTTTTCTATGAGCAACTATCTGCACTCTCCCGATTTGTCCATCCTATTTCTAATATTGGAGTGTATATTATGCTCTCGAGTGGGAGCATACTGTACTACCCTCTTTAAAGCTACTTAAAGACCTAGCATTTGTAACTTCTTTTATGTGCCCCATTTCTAATATCGATGCGTATAATATGCTCTTGCGCAGGAGCATATAGTACTTGCTCCCTTCAAAGCAACTCAAAATGTCCCCACTATGGGCTTCATGCAATAGAGTGCAAGACATTTGTCACTCTTTCTATGAGCAACTATTTGCACACTCCCCATGTGTCCATCTCATTTCTAATGTCGACGTGTGTATTATGCTGTTGCGGCTGCATACTTAACTTACTCTCTTTAGAGGTTTTGAAAAAGTTATTGAATTTAGTGATTTGAAAGTAATTAGAAAAGATATAAAGATGTATGGTCTCATTGAAGGTATGATCTTTATAATAAAGCAGAATAACAGATTATGATTGGTGTAGCTGACCTCAATTAATTAGAAAAAAGCTATAATGAGAACGATGATATGTTTTGGGATCTATCTAAGAATTTTTGGATTTCGATATCCAAAAGTTTGACGGTTTCTATTTAATTTTATGATGTTCTTTATTTTAGGCTCAGAGAGAGTATTTAAATTTTTTTAGATTGGTTGCTAGGTTGAAGAAGAAACGTATCCTCGTGAGAGTACTTAAGTTCTTTTGTTAGTCGGTCTATGTTAAACTTTCTTTTGAACTCTTAATTTTAAGAGAAAGTATATAATAAGACCATTTACTTTTGAAACAAAGTGGTCACATTAATCTTGACTATTAGATGTGAAATTGGGTGGCTGTAATTATTTTATTGATCAAACTTAAACTTTAAAAGAAATTTTTTTGAACTTTGTGATGCATCCAAGCTATCAAACTTCATGTTAAATAGTTGTAAGCAATTGTGACCACCTTGTATCAAAAGTAAATGGTCTCATTTCATACAATCCCTAATTTTATTTTGTTTGCATATATTTGTGCTATTTTTTGAGCCGTAAAATCATAAATTTAAATTAAAAATGCATTTTGAAGTGACTAGATGAGGTTTTAGATCCTAAATCAACGATAAGCGGGTTCACTCATCATGCCCAAAAAATACTCAAAATATGTATAAATTGTTTTTTCTATGGTTAATACCCTTCAAAATCCTATTATATTTAGAATGAGGTGTTCTCTGTTAAATTACATTTGCTGCCCTTTTCTACCATGCGTAGACATTGTTGTCAGCTTTTGATGTTATGACTAAATTGAACGGTAATTACACAGGGGGACTCTAGGTACTTTATTAATACGGAGTATGTTGTGCTCCCTCGGCAGCATACATTGTATACATACTCCCTCAGTCAGAAGACCTACTAGAGAGGCTTTTTTTAATATGAAATTGCTAATAACCACGTAAGGATCCCTAGATGATTATTTTTAAAAGAAAATGTTTGAATTTAAGGTTTTCTACCTCCTAGATCTCACCCTCCCCACATTAGATGGCGCCTATTCAATCTTGAAACAATAGTACAAAGAGAGTACTGTTTGAAAATCTTTTAATTGGGAGTCCCATGGGTTATAGAGTCAAAATTCCCAAAATTTGGGGTCTTAAAATCACTCCTAAATAGTGATTTATTTGAGGGAGTAAATAGACAATACAAGCGAGCAGAAGGTGGTTTCTTTGACAATGTCAAAGAATTAACAAAAGCTTTTTGTCTTTTTAATAGAAGGCAAAAGTTTATATAAGGTTGTAACCTTAAAATGTAGAATTAATGTGAACCTCAAAAATCCATCTTGTTTTGATGTGGGAGAATATTGATCATTTCAACATTGAAATACATAAATATAAAAAGAAAAAAAGATTTCGAGTCCTAAAAAAAATTTATCTAGTAATATATTATCTGAACCGTCCGTTTTTAAGATTTTCAAGTGTTTATAAATATACTTGATTTGGACATTTTTTGGAGTTTAAGATTTTATAATTAAAGATGAAAATAGATTCTCAAGTCATCTTAAAAAATTTTGACACCAAAATTATATTTATGATAAAATTTGGAGGTATGTCTTAATTTTATTTTTTTTAAAGTTGCAACCTAATAAAACACACCCTTTATAAAAATATGAAACACACTTTTCTTAATCATAAAATCATCATTACTCATTTTACAAGCATGAAGTAAAATATTAAGCAAATAAAGTAATTTGGATTTCAGGGAAATAAATTACAGAGGAAAGGTCTAATCCAACACCTCCATGTTATGTATGGATACCTATATTATTTCTATTACAGGGAAATAGATTATGAGGAAATACACCATTTCTAGTGTTTGGATACGTACATAATGAGCAAAAATTAAAATACATTACCCAAAATTTTCTAAAAAATTGTGAAATTTATTACCCACCCCAATAGGTAAAAAACGTATTACATGAGTTGACGGGTAATATGAATTTACGAACCCGCTAGAAATCATTAAACGTGTCTAAAGACTTTGAAGTCCGCCTCTCTCTCTCTCTCTCTCTCAAAAGACTCATGTGCATTCCACGTGGCTATCAAAGACTCTCTCTCTCATATTGCCATCAAAAGTTTCTCTGTCTCTAACACCTATCTTCTCATACTATGAAATCTTGACCGTTTATTTCTCATGTGGTCATTAAATAAATTTTTAGAAAAATTATAAAAAACCCCCAAGTTGAGACTTTCTTAACAACCTACCCCCAACAAAGTTTTTTTAAGTTTTTTTACCCCAAATTAAAATTTTCTAGCAAATACCCCAAA